GGAGGTGTAGGCAAGGGTGGAGGTGTGCAAGGAGAGACAGCACAGACTTGGGTGGGGATGGGGGTGTTACACTGTGGCCCCCCCATTTATGGCTGATGGACCCTAATCACCTTGAATCTGCTTCCTCACTAGTAAGTAGTGTAGTTCTGCCCGCCCCGGGCCCTGCTGAGACTGGCAGGAAATAGCCCTGCCTGTATCATAGCTGCGCAGTGCTCTGCGCTCTGTGGTGTCGACCCGTGTCATCATCAGGGTGCACTTGCTGCCTTAAAGTTCCAGACGTCATTAAGAACCGCCCACGGAAGTGCTTCATCGGCGCTCACACGCTGTTCTCTGAGAACACGCGCTGGTCTTATCTATCAGCCCAGCCCGCCTCGGAACATCAGACTTAGGTGGCTTCCAGTTTTGAAAAAGTTATTATGGGGGGGTGTAGCTCAAGCGGCAGAGCACATGCTCAGCAAGCATGAGGTTCTGGGTTCAATCCCTGGCATCTCCTCCAAAAATAAATAAGTAAACTTAATTACCTCCCCTGCCAAAAAAAAAAAAAACAGTTACTGTGACAACACAGATGGGGGTCGTTCTGTTTTTAAGCCCATGCACTTTTTTTTCATTTTTGACGTGTGATTTATGTACTCGCTCCATCAGCGACTCTGACAGCGGCAGACACCTGTGAAGCCCTGGTCACAGTCAGGGCCCAGAGCACATCCGTCACCACCCTCCCTCCATCAAGCCCCGGCACTGACTTTTATTTCTTACTTCTCCTTCACTTATAACAAATTAAAAAAAAATGAATGGTTCTCATGGATCAAAGTTCAAAGACACAGAAATCATTCACAGGGAATGGTCGGCTTCCTGTCCCCTCCGGGGGCCTCCCAGCGACAACCACTGTTGTGTTTATTTATCCCCACCGCGGTGCTCTGCGAACGGCCCCGTGAACGGTGTCTTCCCGCTTCTGTACGGACAGTTGCAACATGCATGGCCTGTTCTGCGTTTGCTCTTTTCACTTAACGGTGTTGCTGGAGGTCATTCCGCAGGAGGACCTGCAGGCTCGGCTCACGGTTCTCACGCAGCAACGTGGTACCCGTGCTTCATCTAACTGGCCTCCTGCTACTGGAGGGTTACGTTTCCCAGGGGTTTGCTGCAGAGAATAATCTTGTTTATGCCATTCTAGCGTGGCTGGGTTCAGCTTGACGGTGACTTCCTGGCAGCGTGATTGTAGCTGGAAACACGCGTGCATTTGAACTGCGGTAAATCTGCCCTCCGGGAGGATGGGGTCCGCACACCCTCTGCTCTCGTGTATGCTGTCTGGTGGCAGGAAGAGGCCACGTCCGTGTGGCTTAACTCAGCCTCTCTCACTATGCATGAAGTCAGCTCCTTTTTCGTGTGTTTAAGTCTTCTGTGGTCTTGTCTTTTCTCCTTTTTGGGGGCTTGTCTTTTTAAAAGCCCTTCCTGGGTCCTTTCCTTCTCGATGCCTTTGTATTTTCACTCTTCTGCTTGTATGTTCTGTACTTGTCTCTGGGTATTTCCTTCAGATAAGTTGCCGGAAGTGGAACAATGAACTTTAAAACAGGCTGTCAGCACCCCGGCCTCCTGCGGGGCCCTGGGCAGCCCTGTCTCGCTGAGCCGCCCTCCCATGTTTCGTGCTCCGGCCGCGTCTGCGGAGAAAGCTCGGGAGGGAGTGAGGGTCCCGGAGGTCCCGCCAGGAACAGGGCGTGGGTGTCGGGACAGGGGCTGGGGCCGCTGTGCGCGGGCGCCCAGCTGGCCCGGGGGTGGGCTGCACTGTCAGGGCTGTTCGTCTTCTCATCTATAAAGGGCGCGGGCGGCGACGTCACTGCTTCACAAAGTTCTTGGGTGTTAACAGGCTCTCAGAGCGAAGCGCTCGCCGTTTTTACTTTATTGCTGTATTTCTCATGGAGTTGAGAGCGCAGCACATACATCGTGTCACTTGTTTCAGTGCAGAACTAATTATGAAATTTACGGGGTGATAAAATGTGCTCCTCTGTTGTCTTGTGAGGACGATGTCATGCTTCACAGTTGGGAAGTGCTCAACCCCTGCTTATGGATGGTCACAAGTTCCCTTTCATGATGCCATGTCATCGCTGTTTCTTCAAAGTCGCAGTGTTTGAGTGGCAGCCGCGCCATTTCACGCAAACGTGGCCTCTTGGTGGCTCTCTCCTCTGCATCAGCTGTTACCGCAGCATTTAGCTCTCTCATTGCTCTCCCTGTCCCACTTGGAAAGGCAGCGCGCGCCCGCGGCCACCGTGGATGCGCTGTTCTCGCGTCTGCGTCGCCTGACGAGAACGAACGCTGCCGGGCAGGGAAACAGCCCAGCTCGCTCTGCTTTCCTATCAGTAACACAGAGCTGAGAGCTGTTAGGTGCTGAGTGCTTGGGGGACGCAACCTGGAGCCCCCGCGTCAGTGGCGTAGACAGGTGTGCAGACCCAGCAGGGTAAATCGAGGCAGAAGGCCACAGGGCAACGCAGAGGGGAATTTGGGCTGGATCCAGAAACTGCCTTGTTTCGAGTTTTCCAGCATATAATAGTATTGTGTGCTCATGATAGAAGATTTATGTGCATCTAAAAGCAGTGAGCAGAATCACCTGTAACAAAATCCCCCAGCGATAGCCACTGCTATTGCTACATTTCCTTTTGGGGGTGACTTCTTCTGCTTTGATGTGATTATGCTGTATATATGCTTGTACCGATTTCTTAATTTTTTTTTTTGCAGGGGGAGGTAATTAGGTTTATTTACTTAGAGTTTTTTTTTTAATGGAGGGAGTGGGGTTTCAACCCAGGACCTCATGCGTGCTAGGCATGAGGTTATAACCTCCCCCTCGCTATTTCTTAAATTTAATGTTATATTTCAGGGTGAGCATTTTTCAAGCGATAAAATCATCTTAATGAACGTCCAGTATCCATGGGTAACTGAAAATTCCACCGGGGGCAGTGTGTTCTGGAGTGGAGTCCAGGGCGGGGCTTGGGCAGGACAGAGGAACCTAGACTGGCTGTTCATAGCCCCGTCCACCTGCCTAACAGCTAAGCAGTCGGTCCAGAAGGCGATGGTGGAGCACGGGGTTTGCTAGGGGTCGACAGCTTTGTTTTGGGGTCTTTGCTACTTCGTAGAATACGGAGAACAAGTTGGCCCAGGTGGGGTGCATCTGGGTCATCAAGCAGCAGAAAGCTAGTAAGTACCCCTTTTGGGTGGTCTTTAGGAGGAGGGCTGGCCACGGCAAGATCGAACGTAAGGGAGTAAACTAGGATACAAGAACAGACACGCGGTTGATTGAAATATTTACAAGAAGATATAAAAAAGATGGGAAAGACATCGAAATGTTAGGAGTAGATATTTCTGGCCTATAGGATTATGGACATTCACGTTTTCTTCTTTAAATTCCTCTCGCACCCCCTGCAGGCTGTATGTTCGGTGTCCCCGACGGCGTGCAGGGACTGTGTTTGTGACGTTTAGCATGTTATTTTGAAGGTGGCTGTGGCTGTGGCCGGGCCTGTTGGCAGTGTGGGTTTACCTGGAGGCCAGGCGTTGGTCTGTAAGCGCTGGCCAGCTCCCTCGGACATCCCACATGCTGACGGTCACCACGGCTGCATTTGGGCTTGTCCAAGCCCAGACACCAAGAGGTGCAGCCAAGCTCCAAAGAGCTAGACCAGGTTCAGTGCGGCCAAGCGCACGGTGAGCTGTGCTCAGGCCTCAGGTGTGCTGGGGAGCTGGCCTCAGCTACAGGATGTCCCAAGTCTCCTTCCTTGCCGCAACTGCCACCCAGCTGGGTGGCGGGATTCTGGCGGCCACCTTCCCGCCCTCCCGCATCCCCCCTTCCAGGGACTTTCCCTGCTGCTCGCTGACTGTGCGGCTGCATGGATTTCAGGATCTCCCGGAAGGTGCTCCGCTCCGGCTGCGCGGCACACGGAGAGCAGTGACCGCTGCAGGGCCAGGGGTTGGGTGGGTTGGGGGAACCTGCCGGGTTTTAGCATCGGCTCAGTTCTGCTAAGGATGGCAGTGGGGAGCATCAGTCTTGGTAGGTGTCCAGGGGCTTTTATAGACGATTTACAACGCTGTGCTAGCAGGTGGATGGCATCGTGATCCAGTCACACATAGACACACACATATGAATTCTTTTTCAGATTCTTCTTATAAGATATTGAACGGGAAGGGTGGGCTGTGGGAGGGGCAGGCCCGGTCAGCGCCAGCCTTGCCACTCACCAGCTGTGACGGCTCCGGCCCCTAGCTTCCACCCTGTGAAGGCAAAATAATGATGTACTTGGAATTACTCCCTGTTGTTTATTACAGGATGAGAGCTGGGGACTTGGGAGCGGGGCTCGGTCAGCTGCCTTATTCCTGCTTCCGAGCTGTTCCGGCATTGACCTCTGGGGGTGGGGCGGAGTCTCTCGTCGCAGACAGCCACCCTTCAGGGGGCCTTCTCAGTCACCTGGGACGTTCTAAAGCGCTGATTCCGACTTGAGGCTGTGTTGCTGTTTCTCCAGGGCCTGCGTTA